GGGCCCAGCGCCCCCGCCGCCCCTGCGACCCCCGGCCCCGCGCCCTACCGTGGGCCGCTTCCACTCGATGCCCTGCGTCTTGCTGGAGTAGGGTCCCAGCTCCTTGAAGCCCAGGGAGGAAGGGATGGCCGGGAAGGAGGGGTCCTGGAAGAGCGTCCCGGCCTCCAGGCACTCGTCCCGCAGCGCCTCGTAGTCCTGGTTGAGGTACTTAATGGACTTCTCGTGCGAGCCCAGCCCCTCGGCCGTCTCTCGGTCCTTCACCAGCTTGGCCGCGATGCCGGCCATGGCGCGGGGTCTCGGCAGGGGCGCGGCGAGCAGGGACCGGCGTCGGAAGGAGCGCGGCCTGGTTGGGCGCACTGCGGCTGGACTGCGGTCGGCGGCGCCGCGGGCGGTACCTCCCCCAGCAGGAGGCGCCCCCTCCCGGCGGGGTGTGGCCTCGGCGCCCGGAGGGCTGTGGCCTCGGCGCCCGGAGTGCTGTGGCTTCCCGGCGGGGGGTGGCCTCGGCGCCGGGGGTCGGGGGCTGCCACCTGCGGCCCAGACCGGCCGCCAACGCTCCGCCCCCAGGGCTGGAAGGCGGGTCCGGGACTAAATCAGCGGCCATCACCGGGGCCCCGACTTTGTGTCCAACAGCGCGCAGACGGCCTCTCATTTACCGCTCGCAGCAACCCCGGAGACGGGTGTCCCCCCGCTGGGTTCCCATCCTGCTGAGGCGAACAGCGGGCCTCGGAGAGGCTGGGTGACCTGGTGTCGCACCAGCGGTCGCGGGCAGCACGGGGATTCCGAGGCCTCAGCGCCTGTTAGAATCACACGCTGCACATCACACACAGGGTTCCGGGGTTGGCCACTCAAAATACATCCTGAATTTCAGGTTAGCACCAACATTTCCTCAGTGTAAGCATGTCCCGGATATTGCAGGGGCATACTTATACTGAGAAGGTACTCGTGGGGCGCCTGGCTGGCTCAATCGGTGCAGCATGCGATCTTGACCGTGGGGTGGTGAGTTCGAGCCCCAGGTTGGGTGAAGAGATTACCAACCCCAGGTATTGTTGTTTATCTGACACTCACCTTGAAGGGGAGGACGGAGTCAATACTGGTGGGGTGTTTGGAGAGCAGTGCCGGTGACCCCTCCCCCGGGAGCGGGGTGCTGGGGGGGTTGCTGGGAGGGAGGGAGCTTCTTGGCTCCATCCCGGAGGCGCGGGTGCGCTGGGACTGCTCGTCCTCCCCATCCCTGCACTAGGAGGCAAGCATTTGTGTTTCAGTGGGAAACAGGGGGTGGCTTTGCCCTTTCTACCCTACCCCAGGGGACACTTGGCCTTGCTGGAAGACATTTTGTATTGTCAGGACTGCGGATGGGGAGCCACTGGCCTCTAGTGGGTAGAAGCCAGGGATGCTGCTCAACTTCTTACACTCCACAGCAAAGTGATCTGATCCCAAATGTCAGTAATGCTGAACATCCTGGTTTAGAGCGCTACTTCCCAGCCTACCCGATGGTAACCTTTCATTGGGTGTGAGTTGTTTCATGACTCTGAGTTGTAGATAACATGGCCGCGCAATGTAGGGATCCACCTGAATCCTGTCCAGTGCAGGGGTCTCCCCGCCTTGTGGGAGTCAGCTGAGGCGGTTGGCCCATTCATTTCAATATGCTTCATTTCATATAAACTGGTGCTTCTTGCACTTTCCCTTTGAACCAGATGTAGCATCTGCTTAGTTGTCTCATTTAATTAATGAGCTAAATTAAATCTTTAACATGTGTTCATTTTATGGCTATTAGAGTCGGTCATGATTTAACTTTTTTGTTTTTTTTAAATTATCTTTTAGGGGCACCTGGGCGGCTCAGTCGGTGAAGCGCCTGCCTTGGGCTCAGGTCATGATCCCGGGGTCCTGGGATCGAGTCCCGCATCAGGCTCCCTGCTCATCAGGGAGTCTGCTTCTCCCTTTCCCTCTGCTGCTCCCCCTTCTGCTCTCTCTGTCAAATAAATAAATAAAATCTTTAAAAAAATAAATTATCTTTTAGCCTGAAGAACAGGAGGAATAGATAGTCCATCTTGAAGCATAGTTTGAGATTTGAGTATTTAGAATTTGTCTGCTAGACTATGACCTGTCAGGAAACACTTAGAAGTCTTTGGAATTAAAAAAAAAAAAAAAAAAAAGATATCCTGGGTGTTCTCCGCAATGTTAGTTTTTTTTTCTTTTCCTGAAACCATGTTTTATTATGCATCTACCCAGCATGAGACCAGGGGGCAGGTGCATCGAACTGCAGGTTGGCTTTCTTCTTGGCATGCACCTCCAGGATGCCCTCCATGTTGTCCTCATGTGTGAGTTCGTGGTGTGCCTGAGCAGTGCGATCATGCCCCCTCCACACACACGGCCTTGCATGCGGCCCCACTGAAGTCATCTGCACGGCGGGCCCGCTCCTTGTAGTTCACATCAGGACTGATGTTCACCTTGTGGGAGTGGATCTGCAGGATTCTGGCCCGGGCCTCCTCGCTGGGCATGGGGAATTCAATCTTCAGGTCCAGACCGCCTGAGCGGAGAGTGCAGGGTCCTGGATGTCCACCCTGTTGGTGGCTGCAGTCACCTTTACCTGAGTAAAGGTACCTTTACCTCATTTTACAGAAGAACCCCATCCAGTGGGTTCAGAAGCTCCAACAGTGTCCTCTGCACCTCCCAGTCCCAGGCCTTCTCACTAAGCAGACTTGCTGGGGTCCTGATGAGCTCCTCTCCATCCCTTTCCTGGTCTTCAAGCTATTTCACAACTCTGTAAGTTTTGGGAAATTGATAGTAATGCAAATAACTCTTGTCCGTACAAAAGAAAATAGGCTTTCCCTGCTGAAAGCTTGGCCCCACAGCCTCCCTGTTCTACATCTATGAGCAGAGCTCAGTCCTGCATGCCTAACTGGCTGCTCTTTTAGATTCTCCTTGAACTATTTTTTTTTAAACACCTACTGGTTCCCTTCTTCATTAATGAGTTAAATAAAATCTTGGACATATGTTCATCTTATATTTGTATGAGAGTCATTATTTTACTCTTTTAGGAAAGTATCTTTTAGCACACTTTTGTGCACAGGCCCTGATGCTAACTTCCCATGTTTTCAGGGTTGTCATGGAGCGTAGGGTGTGTATTTATTCTGTGTTGCTCCACAGAGGGAACAGGGACCAGCAATAGGCTTCGTGGGGTGCTGGGTTTAATTTAACAAAAAATGCTTGCACACAGGCCACGCTGTGCCTCATGGAAGGGTACGGCCCAGAGGTGTTCTCCTGAGCTCGGGCCTTCCCAGCTTTGCGGAGCACCAGAACCACTGAGAATTCCTTACTAATTAATGCTCACAAACGCCTATTTTCCTTATCCTGTCAATTCCTCACAAATGTATTGTCTCTTTGTCCAAAATGTATAAAAACCTCCTGTCTTGGTCCTTTCTTTGGGTCCCAATTTTGTTATTGGGCCTCTGTGAGCACGTAATACAACTTTGGGTCTTTCTCCTGTTAAGCTGCTCTGTGTACGTTGAATTCTTAGTCCCGTTGAAGACCTGGAGGGTGGAGGAAGAATTCTCCCTCCCGGACGGGGCCCTGCTGCTGGGGGGCCTGCCGAGCCAGGGGCTGGTGACCTCTGAACACCCCGTAGCCGGAGGGCTCGCTGGCAGGTGGTAGGACCCAGGCTGGAGGTATTTTTCCAGCATCATCGGGTGACAGTTTCTTCCTAGCTTAAAGTCAGCATTGGCCTCATTCTTGAGGGAATTTTCACAAGGGGTGGCTGCATTTTGAAGGCACTATTTCTCTGCCCCTCAAAATCATTTCAAGACTGCTTATTGTTTCCCACGTCCTCAGTTTCCCAGAGAGGAGGAAGAAACTTAGGATTCGTGAATTGCTTTCTGCCACCATGAGTATTTATTCAGATTCCAGAACTGAGCCCTTTGCACACGTTCTTCAGGAGTGGAGTGCGCCAGGTACCCCGTTTCCATGGAATCACCCTACTTTGGGTTTTGGGTTTGTAGTCGCCAATATTGTCCCTTCTGCTACTGATTCTTGTCCTTGACCAGTGCTCAGTTGTCCATTTCTTACTCTCTGCCTCACTTGACCAAATTGTAGTCAGGTTTGTCTCTTTCTTACAGGCGTCTGACCTCTGCTTGCCTGCAAACCGGAGCAGACACGAAGTGGAATGTGGCCCCTTGTCCCGGGAGACCATGTTCTTCTGGTCAGACCCCACTGCTCATTTCCCCTTGTTTGTCCAGCTTCCCCTGCAAAGATTCTGCTTATCTCTGTCTGCACATCCTTTACCCTGTAAGAGACAAGCCCTTTCTGTATGATGGTGAGACACTTGTAGGTTTTTGAGACTGGAAATGTCTCCCTATTGCAATAGTCTTTCTCTCCGATTCAAGTCTTGCCCACCTAAGTCTGGATATGCTTTTGTCTGAAATCTCCATGTTCCCTTTGCAAGTCTGGGCACCCTGCCCGACAGACAGGTACCACAGCCTGCCCCGTGGCTCTGCTTTTGTAGCCTTGGATGAAATGGGAGACATTGAAATTGGCTTCTAGCTCATAGGTTTTCTGAAACCACCACAACTGAGAACAGAGGGAAGAGATAGCTCATCCTGGAACCTGTTAACTGGTTTCACTGTCCGATTTCCACTGCGCCACCGGATTTCTTCTGGCCTCTGGGCTCTTGGGGGAACACGCGTCCACCTGGCCAGTGTGACGGAGTGGCCCAGGGGTGCTCACACATCTCCTGCTGGTCTCCTGGAGGTCAGCTCAGCCCTGGAGGACATGCCTCATCCCCGCCTGCCCACATGTGGCTGACCCTGGCCCCAGCTCCTCTACGTGACACGGGACGGGGCAGACCAGCCCCAGGGGCAGCTTCCTGCTGCCCTGGCTGCCATGCACCAGCCTCCCAGGGCCTGGGCACACAGGACCCTGCTCACAAAGGACCTTCGCTGTCCCAGGTGCCTCGAATTTATTTGCAGATGTGCACAGTGATTACTGCCCTCACCAAAGGCCACAGAGCGGTTTTTAAAACAGAGTGTTCTTTATGCTTTCCGAGCCTCTCACACGATGCTATCTCACCGGATCTGGCAAAACCCCATCTGTTTCTGACCACACGATCCCTTCCACAGGATTCACACAGGTGCCCACAGCCGAGCACTCCAGGCCTCACCCTGGGGAACCTTCCTGCAGTGAGTCACTCGGCCCGGAGCGCAGCTGCCAGGTCAGAGCGTGGGGAGCCCCCAGCGCTGGTGGGGCCCAGCCTGTGTGTGTGTGTGAGTGTGAGCATGTGTGAGTGTGAGCACGCGTGTGACAGAGACACAGGGAGAGAATGAAACATTGAGACCACACCAGCCGTGGCCCTGGCTATTTGGGGGCTGCAGAGGCACATTCTGTGGGTTCTGGATGCTCGAGTCCAAGCTCACTCTTTCCCCGAGCACCTCCAGGTGCCAGGCCCCGAGCTCCATGCTTGATGTACATTAAATCTTCCCAGTCGGTCAAGGGAGGCCTTCTTTCCTCATTTTACAGAAGACGAAATGGAGGCCGAGCAGAACGGCCGCTAATGGGTGCTGGGACCAGCCTGGCTCTGAGCCCCAGACCGGAGCCTGCCTGGCCTCTTCCCAGCCGAGGAGGGCTGTGCGGCCGGCAGGGGGCCCGCTTTCTCCTGAGGGTGGAGGCCCAGGAAAAGCTGGATCCTCCTCCTTGACTCCCTCTCTCTGGTCTGTGATCCGAATCCAGAGGCCATAAGGAGAGAAGAGGCATTCCGTGCTGTTACCGCGAGTGGTTTCGTTTTAGGGACCCCTCCCTCTTGGAGTGGCTACAAGGCTTGTTCCTTCCTTGTGACTGCAGCTGGGGGTTGGACACACCCGCTGGACGCACCGGGTGCGGGGAGGGGTGGGGTGGGGTGGGGTTCCAGAGCCAGTCCAAGGGATAGGCCTGCCCCTGGTGTCGCAAGAGGTGGGAGGTGTGGCGGGCAGGAGAGAGGAAAAATCTGGAAAGAAAGCACCAAAAAGCCTAGACCAGCCTCCTTGTGGCGGGGAGCAGAGCAGAAGGACTGGGGGCCAAGGGGCTGCGGCAGGGAGGGGCCAGCCAACTGTCAGCCCCGCGGTGACATATGACGGCCCCCGGGCCCCGTCACTGAGTCACTCTAGGCCTCCCCACACCCTTGCACTCTGCTACGCTGGGGCTGGGCAGTTGTGACCTATTTCAGTACTTGCTCTCCTCCGTCCGCTGATGTACCCTCCTGCGTTGGGCATATTTTCTTGTAGCTCTTTATCCCCTCCCTCCTTCCAGGCACAGGGCTCAGCCCCCAGAATCTTCTTATTGCTGGGACTCCCATGTCCCTGGGGCCGAGATCCCAGGGACCCGTGTGTTTCCCTGCCCCCTGTTGTGGCCCCTCAGTCATCTGTCGATGTAACAGGTCAAAAGGACCGTGACTCAACGGCAGCACCAGGAACTCGAGGGTGGATCTGGGGCACGCGTCTTAACCTTCCTGTGCCTCAGTTTTTCCCTCTGTAAATAGGGATAATGTGTGTCACCACGTGCTCTGTAATTCTGATGGGAGGAGGCTTATAAATACAGTGTGGGCTGTTGATAAAAACCGGGTGAGACTTTGGGGCTTTCCTTCTGCACCATGAGGCCTTGGATGCACATTTTGAGGTCTGTATGACAGAATCCCAGTGTTGTTGGAAATTTAGAGTATTCTAGTTCAGTTTTTATCAAACTTTATTCAGCAGATCATAAGTTCCTCAAGATGTTAATGGATGTTCTGTGCTGTGTATATGGGTGTGAGTGTGTGGATGTTAGCGTTTGGTCAATAAACTTGGGACAACCTTCATAGTATGTTCCCTCTTAATGAATCCTAATGTGTATTATTATGTCAAAGGCTCTGACAAGTCCTGCAGTGAAGGATTCTATTTAACCTAGTCTGTCATTTTTGCATCCTCCAGGAAGAAAATGCCAACACGAAGTTAGGAGTGCAAGAGATTTATTGGGGGTCCTGCCTGTGAAAGATAAAGGGGAGGGGGAGCAGAGGAGCTAGGGGAGACTTCAGATCATGGTGCAATTCTGACACCTGTGGAGAGAGACAGAAGGAAAGCCCACAGGGTAGGAGGATCCCTGGCCTGGAGTGCTGCCCTGAGAAGGTCTCAGCCAACCCCGTGGGGAGTCCCCAGCAGAGCTGGCCCATTAGAGGTCTGCATGGGGTGGAAGTGGTGGGCCCAGGACCTCTGCTGTGTTGTCACGGGCTGGAGCAGCTGGGGAGAGCCTGTCCTCTTGAGTGTTCTGCAAATATTTATTCATTTTTTTTTCATTTTTTAAAAGGAGGTATAACTGACGTACTACATTATGTTAATTTCAGGTGGACAGCATCGTAATTCCATGTTTGTGTATATTGCAAAATGATCTCCACACTAAGTGTGTTAACATTCATCACTATACATAGTTACAGAATTTTTTATGTTGTGCCAACTCTTCAGATCTACTCTCTTAGCTTTCGAATATGCACTACATTATCAAC